GAGCAGGGGAGGGTCAGAGAGAGAGGGAGTCACAGACTGAAACAGGCTCCAGGCTCTGAGCTGGCAGTCAGCACAGAGCCCGACGCGGGGCTCGAACCCACGAACCGCGAGATCATGACCTAAGCGAAAGTCGAACGCTTAACCGACTAAGCCACCCAGGCGCCCCTCGCTCTCTTTTTTTTTAATTGAAGTATAGTTGACACACAATGTTACAATAAGTTTCAGGGGTACAACATAGTGATTCCACAAGTCTATATTTTATACTATGCTCACAAGTATAGCTATCATTGTCGCTATACAATGCTATTACAACTGGTACCCATTGTTGCAGTTGAGAAATCTTTAGAAATTTAATAGTTATTTCTTTGTAGGGTAGGTCTTTTCTTTCTGGTTGCTTTTATTTGGGGGGAGGGAATTCTTCATTTTCATATTGATGTGTTTGAAAAGGTTTCTTTTCTTTATCCTGGTTGGGCTTCACTTTGCTTCCTGAATCTGAAGGATCTATCTGCATTCAGTTCTGGAAAATTCCTAGCTATTATCTCATTATATACTGCTTTTATTTTCTCTCTTCTCTCAGAGTTCTTGCTAAGCATATGATAGACCTTCATAATCTATCCCCATGTCTCTCAATCTTTCATATTCCTTTGCCTCTGGGCTATTCTCGGTAATTTCTTTAGATCTATGATCCAGTTTAAAGATAGTATCTTGTTTTAGGGCACCTGAGTAGCTCAGTCAGTTGAGTGTCAGACTTCAGGTCTTAATCTCATGGTTCATGTGTTCAAGCTCAGCATCGGGCTTGCTGCTGTGAGCGTAGAGCCCACTTTGAATCCTTTATCCCCTTCTCTCTCTGTCCCTCTCCCTCTTTCACGCTCTCTCTCAAAAATAAACATTAAAAAAATAGTATCTTGTTTCTTGCTCCTGTATTATTTTGCTTAATCATTTTAATAAACTCTTTTTCTATTCTGTAACCAGTAATCCCCTCTCTCTAAAGTTCAGACTTCATTATTTTGTTCATAGTTTCCGCTGATTCATTCATGGTGCCCTATTTTCTCAGGTATATTGCAATTATATTTTGGGTGCTCATATTTAACTTTTGAAATACTGTTTATCTTTGGAAATTCTTTCAGTCCTGGATTGAGAGTGAACCTGTGTGGTGAGGATTTGTAATTGTTTCTTCCAGGCCTTTGAGGACTACTAGCGGGACCACTTGTCCTGAAAGTTTCCTGGACTGTATAGGTAATATCAGTTTGAACTTTCAAACCCATGTGAGGGAAAGTTTGTGGTTATGAATTCTAAAGGGAAATTGTTTCCCCTTCCATTCCAAGTCCAGACAAACATACTGCTGTCTGCTTGTCTCCCTGGCTGGTACAGGGGATATTTTGTTTTTATCCCCAGTCTGTTCTTGGAGGGCATAGCCTTTTGAGTTTCCCAGCCTTATGCAGGATCACTGTCCCAACTCCTTGTACAGCCCAAGGCCTTGTCTTTGCTCTTCTGTTCAGCCATTGGAAAAAAAAAAAAGAAAAGAAAAAGTTTTCTGAGATCAGTATATACCTTCAACACAACTATAGCTTTACTGTCCTGCTTACTACTTAGATTTCTTGCTCTCTTTTTGGGTTTAGTGTGGAGTTTGGAAGACTATTAGAGGTATTCCTCTCTCTTTCTTGAAAGCTTAGTTATGACTTCAAAAGGATGTCCTATTTTATCCAGCATTTCAGTGTGTTTAATAATGGGACTGTTTTTCAGGTTATCTGATAATAGTGTGCCATATTGGTCTTTGATTACTTTCTCTGTCAGTTTGTATTCTACACGTATAGATAAGCCGAGTCTAGCTACCTTTTTTCCATTTCTGATTTCTCCTTATTATCAGTCATGATTGCAGCCTTTCTAGTTTATTTCCCTTCTATTCTTGCATCTGTATACTCCATTCTCCGCATAGAAATCTAGTGATCTGAAAGTATAAGCCAGATAAAATCACTTCCCTGCTCTTTAGTAGCTTCTTGGAATAAATCCAGATTCCTTAGTATGGTATTCAAGATTCTTTTTGACCTGACTCTTGTCCACTCTACTGTTTTTTTCCCAGTACATTATTCTTCTTGCTCTAAGCAAAAGCTACACAGGTCTAAATGACTGACCATAGCAAGTCCTTTTCTTCCTCCTGCCTGTGATGCTTTCTTCTAGGAGCTTCTCATGGCTCTCCTGTTCTCAGTTTAAATGCCCCCTCCTTAAAGATGCTTTCTCTGGCCACCCGATCCAAAGTAATCTCCCCAGTTGTCTCATACCAGATATCACTAGTTTAATATCTTGTTTGCATATTTGTAAGCTCCTCAAAGGCAAAATGATTCATGTTCACCCTTGTGTTCCTGATAACCAAATGTCTGATAACATTTTAGATGCTCAAATGTTTGGAGAGTTAGTAAATACATTGATGAACTCCAGTGTGTATAAAACATGAAGGCCTTGATTTCAAGGAGGTGGGACTCAATTTAGCAGCAAAACATAGTAAGAGTTTGTAAGTAAAATGCAAATGGGTAATGGATGAGTTCCCAGAAACAAATGTTCTGGAGCAGGTTTATGTAATAGCAGTGTCAGTGTCTTTGGTTGGCAAAGACCTGGCTGGAGACCATGCTAAATTAAGCGAGGGGCTGGCTCTACTTCTCAGTTTAAAGAATACTCCCTCCCCAAGCCCCGTCCCAATAAAAGAAAGAGAGGCAAGAAAAGCCGATTGCACGTCTCCAAACTACGACTCCCAGCAGCCCCCGCGCGAGCGAGCTCGGCGGGAGGTGGTGCCGGTATCCGCCCTGTAGAGCTCGGTGCTTGGGCCGGCGAGGGGCGGTGTTCTGGCCCCGCCCCTGCCCGCTCCCCGCCGTCGCCCTCCCCCCGGGTTGTGGCCACGCGCAGCGGCGGCGGTTGTTCCGCTTCCCCTCTGGCCCGGGCCGTCGCCATTGCCGAAGGCTCCCTGCCCTCCCCTCGCGGCGCCCGCGGGGCTCGGCTGCCGCTCGGCCTAGCGGTAGCAGCGGCTGCGTTTCAGCGCGGCTCGTCCTTCCGCCCCGCTTCCCCCTCCTTCTCCGCCTGCCCCGCGCCGCGCGCTGGTCCGCGGCGGCTCCAGAGCCCGCCGGGAGCTCGGACCGAGGCGCCTCGCTGGGGCGGGGACCATTCCTCGCCTGGGGTAAGTGTGCAGGCGGGCCGGGACGCGGGCCGTCGCTCTCTTCCTCCTTCCTTCTCGCGGCCTGGCCGGCGCCAGCGGCCCGCGGCAGCCTACCTGCCCGGAGCAGCGCCGGGGCAGCCGCCACCTGCGTGCCTGGAACCGCGGCTCCCGGGGCGGTGGCTCATTGTCTGCTCCGTAGAGCTGTTTTCTTCGGCTTCAGCCCGAAATGGGAAGCTTGATGGGCTGGCGAAGTCTAACTCTTCCTGGACCCAGCCCTGCCCAGGGCCGTGTCGCGCCACAGACTCTGCCCACTCTCGGTCTCCCTTCCCTAGCCTTTCAGCTTCCTCCGGTTCTCAGCTTACTTTAGTGCTCGACCTAACGTCTCGGGTTTTAGTCCTCGATTTTTCCTTGCTGAGCCCCAGCCCCTCCTTGCTACCTCTCTGGTCATCATAGTTTCATTGCTTAGGCATGTGGTCTTTAGCCCCTTTACTCTTTTCTAAACTACAATGTGTAATCTCTTCCATATTCCGTATTAGTAGAAACGTATAGTTTACCGAGAGTTTGAGGGCCTCACCTAACAACCGAACTTTTGGATCTTCTTCTGATTCTTGTTTGATCTTCAGCCAGGAGGTGAATATTTGTTTCTTAGGTAATTTAGGTGAAGGTTGGCTTTTCACCATGTTTGGCTTTCTTTAAAACAAGACACTTACGACATTGCTGCAGAGTCTTCGTGGACTCAGCCTTTTGAGTAATTCTTTAAAGTCATCCTCGAATTAAAAGTATGAAAAGTAATTTCTGTTGTCGGTTGGTGTGGGGCTGTAGCCTCCTTGTATCTTCATTTTAATTGGAATAGTCTAGGCAGTTGTGAGCTCACTGATTTGTTTCCTCCTTGATAAATCATGCCAACTTCCATTGATACGGTTGTTTCACTTCTCCTTTAAAATTAATCTGTAGTTGTTTGTTTTCTTTTTAACCTCTGTAAAAGACAATCAAAATGGTTAGGCCTAAAATTAGACTACAAGAGCTGTGTTTTGGATCAAGGTTGTGCACGTCACGTTTTTTCCCCTGCTCTGTTTGACTCTTCCGCTCTTATAAGTAGGCAGGATATTGAAATGTACAAGAATTTGCTTGGGGGGTTTTAGTTTTGTAGGGTTATCCCAAAAGTAACAAAATTAGATTGGGATGAAGGCAGTGAATAGTAATTTTTAAAGCAGGTTACAACTTGTCACCTCTGCCAGAAGCTCTGTGACATTTGTAAAACACACTCATACTAACTTCTAAATGTTTTTTATGTGTGTATACACACACACATATATTGTATACACACATATAAATGTAAAGTTTTGTTCATGTTCTCCTATTAAGGGTGTTGATTTAAGGCAATTCTTTCATCCTTGGCTTTTAAATCTTTCTAGCTATTAATTATACAAGGATGCTGATTTACATTAAGAAAAATGAACCTTAAAATGTTTTTTGACATGTAATATATGTAGGTCTTAAGCCTACTTCCAGGTTTTGGTGAGAGTGGTTGATCTAAATTCAGTGAATTTTGTTTTCATTAAATACTCCATTTTCACTTAAGTATCAGTACTGAGTCTTAATACTGTTATCATTTGATGTCAGTTGTCCCTAAGTTAATTGAGAGGTCTTGTTGCAGGTATAAAAATGATTGAGTGTGTAATTTGTTCTGTTAATGTCAGCTTCTCTGCCAGTTTCTATAAGCAGATACTTTTTTCATGTTTATTTAAGGAGAGAGAGAGAGAAAGGCACAGAGTGTGAGCTGGAGTGGGGCAGAGAGAGAGGAAGACACAGAATCTGAAGCGGGCTCCAGGCTCTAAGCTGTCAGCACAGAGCCTGCTGCCGGGCACGAACTCAGAAACTGTGAGATTGTGACCTGGGCCGAAGTCCAACGCTCAACTGACTAAGCCACCCAGGCACCCCTATAAGCAGATAACTTTTACCAAGGAAGAATTCCTGGATATTCCTCTAACCTTAGGGTCTTGATTCCTGGTTTACATTATTCAAAAAGAGAGTACTTTGTGACATTTAATACTAACCTTGCAAACCCCCAATTGTAAAGTAATGGTAAGTTTGTATTTGAGGTGTATCTACTAAACAAATGAATCGGGGTTCTTATGGTTTTCTAATCTTTATGATAGGCAGGTTTCCAAGTAGACATGATTAATAGTTGTGTATATTTCTTTTTAATTATACATTTTTTAAAGCAAAAACTTAGAATTGTTCAGGTAGCTCAGGATAAAAAAAGAGAACTTGTTCAAATAGATAAAAGTAAAATAAGTAGGTACTTTTAAATCCTTATGTTTCTCCTGTCAATATTGATAATTCTAATATTCAAGTATAATGTTTCTTTTGGCTTTTTGTAATTTCTCCTTTTGATTAAAACTTGAAACTGGGCTTTGTTGAATGCTTTAAGCCATTGGGATTCTGATCAGTTTGTTTCAAAAGCCCTTCCAGTTAGTTAGAGGGCTAATTCAAGGCTAGTCAGAGGCCTGGTAAGTTGCTTACAAATCTGAGTTGTCCCATGTATCCTTCTGGTACCTTGGTAGAAGCAGAAGGAGAAGGAAAAATCGCCTGCTTGGCTTTGAAGAAGTACTGATTGTTTTCTTCTGTGATCAGAAGTTTCACTGCTTCTTCATTTTAGGATCACTAACCTGTTTAAGAATAGTCATTCCGAACATTCCTGAAGGATTTCAGAGTACTAGTCTATTATTATCTCTGAGGTACGTTAGCACTTATCATTTCATTTGTCTCAGACGGTTGGGTGCTGGAGACCTGGTTTTGAATCCTGGCTGCTTGACCCTGGGTACTCTTTTCAAGATTTGGTTTTCTTCATCTGTAAAATGGGGATTGATAGTAATAACAATATAATACAAATTTCATGGGGCTATTTAAAGTAAATGAGATAATTCAGGTTAAGTACTTTGTGAATGTAGTACTTAAGTTCTTTATAGAAGTTAGTTAATATTCCATTCTAAAATAGGTTTTACATTTAATTGCTTCTGTAGCAAATATTATGCTCCCAAACTTGGGTTTAAGAATGCTTTCTGGAAGAGGTTGGAATCTCAGAACCAAGTTTCTGAGATCGTAACTGTTAAATTAAAAATTATTTTTTGGGAAAAAGTTTTGCCTGTAAAATATGGGTTTTTTTAAGTACATGTTTTCCAGATTTTAAAAAGTATGCATATTTCTCATAGAAAATTTGGAGAGTAATGAAGATTATTAAGAAACAGGACAGAAATCACGTTAGCCTCAGAGATAACCATCCTAACAGACTAGTGTTTTTTCCCTTATTTTTAAATTCCAAAAGTGGTATATGCTTTTTATAAAAGGTTCAAGCAACTCAATTATTTAGAGGTAGAAAAATGAAAATTACTCTTTCCTCACTTTCTAGTCCCATTCCCTACAGGTACCCCTGTTAAGTTTTCTTTATGCAGTTAGTAATAAGCATTATGTGTGTGGGTTTAACCAATTTTCAAAATAAAAGATCTGGTCATTATATAGTCTTTTCCATCTCAATGCATATGGTTGTACTTCATCTTTTTAACAGTCATGGTGTAGTCTCTTGTATGGTTGTACTTTGTTTAATGATTAATGGTTATTTATGTTACAGTGGTCCCCCCTTATCCATGGAGGATATGTTCCAAGACCTCCAGTGGATTCCTGAAACCAGGGATAGACTGAATCTTATATATACTATGTTTTTTTCCTGTGTATACATATCTGTGATAAAGCTTAGTTTATAAGTTAGGCACAGTAAGATTAGCAACAATAACTGATAATACAATAGAACAGTTACTACAATATGCTATAATAAAAGTTACGTGAATGTGTTCTGTCTCAAAGTATCTCCTTGAACTCTACTAACATTTCTTGTGATGATGCAATGATAAAATGCCTACGTGATAAGATGAAGTGAGGTGAATGGCTTAGGTAGACCCTTGGCAGCTGAAACTGTGGAAGGAGAAACCATGGGTAAGAGATACTGTGCAGATCTTCATCAATTACAATGGGGTTTTGTCTCAACAAACCCCCTGTAAGTTGAAAACAGTGTAAACCAAAACATTATAGCTCAGTCTAGCTTACCTTAAATGAGCTGAGAACATTTAGGTTAGCCTACATTTGGGCAGAACCCTCTAACACAATGCCAGTTTTATACTAAGGTGTTGAATATCTAATGTACTTTATTGAATAGTGTCCTGAAAGTGAAAAATAGAATGGTTGTAAGTGTTTCAGTTGCTTACCCTCTTGATCACGTGGCTGACTGGGAGCTGCAGCTCCCTGCCCCTGCCTCATGTCATAAGACAGTGTGGTACTGCATATTGCTAGCCCAGGAAAAGAGCAAAATTCAAAATATGGTTCCTACTGAATGTGGAAACTTCACTTTCACACCATCATAAAGTCAAAAAACTGTAAGGTGAACCATGAGAAGACAGGGACAGTCTGTATTCTCAATTTTGAGCAAGTGAAACGGGAGCCTTAGTGAACTTGTATCTTTGTACATATGCAGGTGTATACAAGTATTTCCATAAAAAGGATTCTTAAGTGTGCCTTTTAAGTTTTGATTGATGCCAAATTGCTGTCCTAAAAGGTTATATCAATCTATACTTCCTTATTGAATTGTCAAAGCTTTTCATACATAATAGGTAATAATATTTTACCTTCTGTTTAAGCTCTTTCCCATTGCATATTTATCAAAAAACATTCTCTTAATAATTGTTGTATTGGGTTGCCTGGCTGCCTAAGTTGGGGGAGCATGCAACTCTTGTTCTTGGGGTCATGAGTTTGAGTCCCATGTTGTATGTAGAGTTGACTTAAATATCTAAAACTTTTAGAAAATAATAATCATCATCATACTGTCCTTCTGGAATTAGTATATGTGCATGATGGGTGTAAGGAAGAGCTTTAACAGTGTATAATAGCTTGGCTATTGAAGTGAAGTATGGACATAGAAAAAATTTTAGGAGTTTGAGGTTGCTATAAAAATGGATTATAGAGATTCA